AGCGTGATTATGTTGTGGAATTTATTGCCCGATGGTGCTGTTAACCCTATTTCCCTGAATCAATCTATAACCATGATAAACCCAACAGAAACTCGCGATTATTTTAATTTATATTTTGAGACTAGATTTTGTCAAATCATTCATTGTCACCTCAAGCTCGGCTGTAGTGATCTAAATGCAGACAGATAAAATTTACATATATCGGAAACATCTAAGTGTTCATTATAACGAAAACGTTATTCATTACCTTTTTACATGTGAGAACTATCAAAATTTAAGAACAAATGTGAATTTCTATATTCAAGGATACGATGTTAAAACTACTTTATACGGTAACGGCGCATTGAATAACTCAACAAATAGTGACATTCTCAACTCATTACACCAGTTCATTTAAACAAGAGTCATCAGAAGATGACATATCCCCCCCGGCCCCCATATCTTTGAAAGAACAAATCATCTGACAGTTACTTAAAGTCCAGCTTGATTTTAGAATAAGTGCAAATCGTTTCCATGGAAATCATGAAAAAAATACATGACAATAAATCTGCAAATAGCAAAAGGCACAACTTCAAGATCTGCCTCACATATCTGCCAAGTTTTGCTGAAAGATATTGAGAAGTTTTCGAGTTGTGCTCCGGAAACGAAACCCACCCCTCCTTTTGGGACTAAGTCCGAAGCGTTTCCATGGAAACCGGGAAAAATAAAAATGCCCCAAATCTGCAAATAGCAAAAGGCACCACTTAAGGTTCTGTTTGATATATCTACCAAGTTTTGTTGAAATATATTGAACAGTTCTTGAGTTATACTCCGGAAACAAAGCCTACCCTCCCTTTTGGGATTAAGTCCGAATCGTTTCCATGAAAATCGGGAAAAATAAATATGCCAAAATTCTGCCAAATAGCAAAAGGCACCACTTTGGCATCTGCCTCACATATCTGCCAAGTTTTGCTGAAAGATATTAAGAAGTTTTCCAGTTGTGCTCCGGAAATGAAACCCACCCCTTCCTTTTGAGACTAAGTCCGAATCATTTCCATGGAAACCCGAGAAAATAATTAAATCACAAATATCTGCAAATAGCAAAAGGCACCACTTTGGGATCTGCCTCACATATCTGCCAAGTTTTGCTAAAAGATATTGATAAGTTTTCGAGTTGTGCTCCGGAAACGAAGCCCACCCCTCCTTTTGGGACTAAGTCTGAAGCGTTTCCATGGAAACCGGGAAAAATAAAAATGCCCAAAATCTGCAAATAGCAAAAGGCACCACTTAAGGTTCTGTTTGATATATCTACCAAGTTTTGTTGAAATATATTGAACGGTTCTTGAGTTATACTCCGGAAACGAAGCCCACCCCTCACTTTTGGGACTAAGTCCTAATCGTTTCCATGGAAACCGGAAAAATAAATATGCCAAAAATCTGCAAATAGCAAAAGGCACCACTTAAGGTTCTGTTTGATATATCTACCAAGTTTTGTTGAAAGATATTAAGACGGTTTTTGAGTTGTGTCCCGAAACGAAACCCACCCCTTCCTTTGAGACTAAGTCCAAATCGTTTCCATGGAAACCGAGAAAATAATAAATGCCAAAATCTGCAAATAGCAAAAGGCACCACTTAAGGATCTGTTTGATATATCTACCAAGTTTTGCTGAAAAGATATTGAAGTTTTTGAGTTATGCTCTCGAAATGAAGCCCACCCCTCCTTTGGGACTAAGTCCGAATCGTTTCCATGGAAACCGAGAAAAATAAAAATGCCAAAAATCTGCAAATAGCAAAAGGCACCACTTAAGGTTCTGTTTGATATATCTACCAAGTTTTGTTGAAATATATTGAACGGTTCTTGAGTTATTCCGGAAACGAAGCCCACCCCTCACTTTTGGGACTAAGTCCTAATCGTTTCCATGGAAACCGGGAAAAATAAAAATGCCAAAAATCTGCAAATAGCAAAAGGCACCACTTAAGGTTCTGTTTGATATATCTACCACGTTTTGTTGAAAAATATTATACGGTTTTTGAGTTGTGCTCCGGAAACGAAAGCAATCCTTACTTTTTGAGACTAAGTCAAAAATGTTTCCATGGAAACCGGGAAAAATAAATATGCCAAAAATCTGCAAATAGCAAAAGGCACCACTTAAGGTTCTGTTTGATATATCTACCACGTTTTGTTGAAAAATATTATACGGTTCTTGAGTTATGCTCCGGAAATGAAGCCCACCCCTCACTTTTGGGACTAAGTCCTAATCGTTTCCATGGAAACCGAGAAAAATAAAAATGCCAAAAATCTGCAAATAGCAAAAGGCACAACTTTAGGATCTGTTTGATATATCTACCAAGTTTTGTCGAAAAATACTGAATGGTTCTTGAGTTATGCTCCGGAAACGAAGCCAACCCCTCACTTTTGGGACTAAGTCCGAATCGTTTCCATGGAAACCGGGAAAAATAAAAATGCCCAAAATCTGCAAATAGCAAAAGGCACTACTTTAGGATCTGTTTGATATATCTACCAAGTCTTGTTGAAAAATATTGAACTGTTTTTGAGTTATGCTCCGGAAATGAAGCCCACCCTTCTTTAAGACTAAGTCCAAAACCGAGAAAAATAAAAATGACAATAATCTGTAAATAGCAAAAGGCACCACCTTAGGTTATGTTTGACATATCTACCAATTTTCGTTGAAAAATATCGAACGGTCTTTGAGTTATGCTCCGGTAACAAAATGATTACGGACGGACGGGCAGACGGACGAGGCGACGACTATATCCAACCGCATTACATGCCGGTGGGATAAAAAGTAACCGCTTCCATTGATAATCATCTCTGCATATATTCTCAATGTAAGATTCTCTGCGGAAGCTCATTTCGTTGCTAGACATAACCAACACCATAACGAATATGTAATTTTTAAAGTAAAATTGATATTTTATACTTATCCTGACTCATGATCTTTTGCTTATCTCCCTTTCCCTTTCGCATGGTAGTGGAACACTTGAATCCCTTGAAGTTCCCAAAGCGGACGTATAAATACTCACTCACGAGTTACCTCCCTTGCCCTTTCCCGCGCAAACATACCATGTGACGTGCCCATACTTGTCACTCTCTGCATATTTTCCGCCCATGCACTTGAATCTGCTGTGAAATCTCAAGGGTCTTCAATGGGGAGGTTGGGAGGGCTTGCTCGTCATGAGTCAGGATAAGTATATAATTTCAATTTTACTTAAAAAATTACATATTTTTCCTTATCCTGACTCATGATCTTTTGCTTATCTCACTTTCCCTTTATTATTAACCATTTATCTGTTATTTTGTATCAGTATTATTCTTTTGTCAAATTATTTCAGTTATGTATCCAGCCATTGGAACAATGTACTGGAGCGGCGTCTATATAAGCCACTAGGCTTGTTTGCCTATATCCAGGTTTCTGCTTTGACGAAATAAAAATAGGCTTAAACCATATTAAAGTACCAGAGTTTCATTGAGCTGTCAATGGCAGACCCATCACAGTGTTCACAAAGTCTGTGTCGCTTGTGCTGCCCATAGTTAAAAATATTATACAGCACATTAACTTCTTAATTAACTTACTATGTAGTGTATATGATATATCGTGTAACTCAGTATATGTGCATACTTGAACTCTTCCACAACATGTACAATGACCTATGTAATTAGCTGAATAAATATTGTATGAAGCTGGTACAGCTAAAATTGTTTATAAGTGTTGGTGGAACAGTCTACCTGATGGAGGGGAGAGAGCTAGTAATTACAAACCACTCGACTGGAACAGGTTGTGTCTTGGACGGGTAGTCAAACTGGGAGTTGTCATAATGGGAATGGTGGACACACTAGTCCTGGTGTTGTTGACGTTGAAGTGTTTATGTTGAAGATCTGTTGCAGTCATGAATGAGAACGATGTTTCTGAGGTGACTGTCTTGACGTTGCGTGACGACACGAGGTTGATCTGGCCTTGATCTATGCCACAGTTCCTGTCACCTGGAATTGTTGCCACAGTCTACCGATGACACTCTGAGACACATTAAAATGTCTGGCAACTTGTCGTTGACTTAATCAGTATTTAGCATTCCTATTGCTTGGCCTCGTTCTTCAACACTCAGAAAACGCCTCATTTTGAAGCACGCTGAATAAAGATACAGGATCTCAAGTGTAAAGACCGATGTCACTTGAAAACTTTCATTACACACTTTCCATGTGCAATGACACATCACTGGATGTGTTCGTGTGAGCTGTTTTGAGCACTGTTAACAACACACCAAATTTCAAGAAAATTGATCTAACCAACCGTGGAGAGACAAGTGCATGCGACAAAGTAAGGCAGGGGTTCAAATTTTGTTTAAAAGACTATAAGAAAGTAACTTGTCCTGACTAATTTTCCACTTGCCCTGATTTTATGACATAATTATGATGATGTAATTATGAAAGAAGAAATCAACATGGTATTTGATGTTAATGTTTACTGGACTATTTATTGAAAAGTGATAAATAGCAAAGAAAGATAACTCTTCTTTATTATCATTGCAATTTAATAGCTACATTTTGAGCAGATATGAAATTAAATCCAAGTTTATTTGCGGTTTGAAACCATAAGTGAAAATTATCTAGTAGCCCACGGACAAGTAAGATACCATTATTTGATTAACATAGAGATTTTTTCTGGGTTACATCTTCTTTTTATTCTCGAGTACAACGTTTATTTGAGAATAAAAAGATGTAACCCAGAAAAAATATCTATGTTCATCAAATATCATCTTCTAAAATGCCAATCAAGCATCATTATTTGATTGCCCGAAATGAAAACTGACTTGTCCCGGGCGTCGGGCGATGGGATTTTTGAACCCATGTAAGGTCTTGTGCAATGTTAATGATTGATGGCCAGGTGACTACAATGCCATTATCAACATTAATGAAAACTGCTGTAAACTAAATCATCAAACTATATAGGTGACCCTTGACTAATTATGTTTAGCATATTTCACATGTCATGCTGACTTACCTTTGTAAAATATTGTTGTGAATGTAACTTTAGGCAAGAGTTGTCTAACTTTGGTGATGACAGTAGCTGCTTCTGCATGCTGAGACTTTGTGTTCCAGATCTGGATGATGTCGTCACGATCACGGATGCTAACACTCACGCCACCTATCTCGTCATCTGAAACAGAGAAACACTGCCAGGTGAACGTAAATTCGGGGACATTCATTTTTGTTCCTGCCAAGAGGGTTAATGTTAGTGCTCATTTTCGCTCACAATATGCGGTTTGATAATCAGAGCTCAGCAATCGATTGTAAGCATAAACCTCACCAACAAACTCAGTGGACAATGTCAATATCTGCACATTGTGCAAATGAACCAAGCATCGATTAGTACCATGATCAAGATGAATGTGTATACTTCTGTTGAGACACGTATTTGTTGCTTACATCACAGTTTTACGAGTCAGGAAACTGCATCAGTTGTTAATGTCATTAATAATAAACAATAGTAAATAACAATAATAAACATAAATTTGATGCTTCATTTCTCATGAATATCAATTAACTGCTCAAGGTTGTATATATGTAACAGTGTGTAAATAAAAGTGTTTCATTTTAATGTGTTAAACTTCATTATTTTAAAACTTAGGTATAAAACTTTCATCAATTCCAAACTGGCCTGTGTTAACACTAACACTTGCACTGTTTAATCAATTCACTGGTAAGCTAGCTTGGGGTCTATTGTTAAGGGTAAGTGATCTGTGTCAGGTTCAATCTCTGCATTGGCCTGTTGTCAAGGTTCCTATTGTTTCATAGATTTCACCTTCTCATCATATTTAAAGCTTTCTACTGCCTTTAAGTTGTGGCAGTCTACATCTTTCTCCATGAGAGCGCAATCACAGCACAGCACAGCACAGCACAGCACAGCAACAGCACAGCACAGCACCAGCACCAGCACCAGCACCAGCACCAGCACCAGCACCAGCACCAGCACCAGCACCAGCACCAGCACCAGCACCAGCACCAGCACCAGCACCAGCACCAGCACCAGCACCAGCACCAGCACCAGCACCAGCAGCAGCACCAGCACCAGCACCAGCACATTATGGGGTAAGTTAAGTTAGATGTTTTGGTATTATATCTATAGTAGGACTATTAGGATTTACATGTTTTAGTGTAGTTTGGTGTTTGTCTATAAATATATGCATGCTTAGTATTTTAGACAAATATATGATGTATTGTGTACCAGTACACTAGTATACTGGCGTGAGTTTATTTGAACAGTAGGGTATTTTATACCACCATGATGCTGTAATTTGTATCATGTATATGTATTAGCTATTTCATGATTGGCATGATACAGTAATGTGTATCATGCATATTTATTATATGGTTTAGTTTCTATATGCATATTGATGTATGTATTAGGGTCAATAAGATAACTATTTATGTGTTCGCTAATGCCATTTATGATGTATATCTGTATATACTAGCAGCATACTTATATTTTGTTTATTTAGGTTCACTAAGAATCAGATGTTTTATTAGCTGTTGGCCTATTCTGCCTGCGTGCCTGAGACGAGGTGAGGTATTGTTTTTAGAATGTGATTGTAAATATTAGTAATTATAGTTGTCATATATGTGAGTAATAATCAGAGTACATGTCTTTGCTTAAATCGGGATGATTGACAGTTATCAGATGTTTTAATAGTATAGTGGTAACCATACTGAACATATAACATGATACGTATTTCATTATGAGAGACATGTATTAATTGATGCATATTTTATTATTCAGGGCGTTTTGTTAGTTCAGTTACATGGACTGAGAACCAACTGGGGATCTCCATATCCCACGTTACCAGCGCCGGAATAAATCCCTGAAAACCTACACAAGTGTTCGTCTTCATTAAAACTACCATATACGAATACCTCTGTTACATATATATCATATATGATCGATCAATTTACTGATAATTCGATCAATCACTCCAGCACTAGTTACTATATTTCCAAAAAGTCGCAACAAATGAACTGCTCTGTTTAAAGGTCTGTAATGTAAATGTGGATAACCAGTGTGTGAAACTCCCCTCAATTTGTACCAGAATGATAACTTTTAAGACCGACAAGCCCCACTGTCGGTCAACATTGTCAAAAGTATTCTTTAATTAAATCACATCTACCAGAAGAATACATCTGTTTGATGAGCTTTATTTAAATGCACAACCTTTTGCATATTGGACCTTGATCAAGTTCACAAATAACCTCATCAGAGTGTCACTGAGGGTTTAGTCTCGTGATATTATTGTTCAAATATTAAACTGTCTGAGGGTCAGGAGGCTTCTAATTTTTTTACCCGTAAAAACACGACTGTAATCACTGATAATGTTTAATGCTGCTTTTAGCAATATTCTAACAATACCACAGTGGTGGACACCATAAATGGGCTTTGCATTTTGTACCCATGTGGGATTTGGGACTGAGAAAATAGATATTTATAAAAGAACAATATTTATATGCAGAGAAAAATATCATAGATTTATGAGATACAATTCAATGTAACAACTTTTGCAATCAGATTGCAGCATATGTTCCGTTACCATGGTTACAATGGTGAAATAAGACTACATAAAGCCATGTTCAAGTCACATTAGGGATGCTGTGCGACAATATTCCAGCTTTATGACTGCGGCCTTTAGTTAATTACCCAGGTACATTCACTCCCATGTTCATGACAACCCTACCTTCAGCCATGAACTCGGACAGCTGTTCTCCTATGGCTGCCAACAACAGCTCCTTCCAAACCGTCGGCTGAAACAGTTCCGTCTCACTTCACCACAAATTTGAAACATTCAAAACATGTCGATACCACTGAAGCAATATTAAAAACACAGGTGCAAAAGGTACTACAATTTGTGTTACAAGAAGTGTTTGCCACTAACATAGCAGTGTCCCCCGCCGCTAAAGAAGAATGAAATATAACACATTTACTAGGTTTTATCTATTGGTCACACAAAAGATAACTTTTTGTGTGATGTAGTTATCGCATTAACAAGATTTTGAAAAGTGTTATCTGAAACTGAAAATAAGGTCAAGGTCACCATGACATGACTGGTGCCTGCGTTATCACCCAATGGAGGCTGTCGATATAATTGAAGACACTGGGTGCAACGTTTTATGAGATACATGTACCCGGTATCGTGTTTACATAACCTTGAAAAGTGGTCAAAGTGTCATGGTGACCCTAAAGATAAGGTCAAGGTCACCAAAATCGACTGGTGTCTGCATAATCCCCCAATGTAGGCTGTCATCAAATTTGAAGATATCGGGTACAACAGTTCATAAGATATAGTGTTAACAAGAATTGGGACATACGGACATACGGATGCTGCTGAATACATAGTTGAGCCTCACTTACTGTGTCGTGTTTATGACATTTCAACCTCCAGTGACCTCCCTTGCTGTTGTACTCATCTTCCCTGCAACAATTATATAGTAATAGCAGGGTTAGTCCAACAGACTACTCTCAGGGGTGGACAAGTCACGCCAGCAAGTCCACAACCACGCCAACTTATTTAAACTACTGATGAGAGACATGAGTGTTGCCATCATTCTGTTGATGAATTGGAAATCTTAATTACATTTCGTCTTAATTACCAACAATATTAACATTCTGAGGGTTCTTATGAATTTGAAAACAAAAGTGTTTCCATCATTCTGTTGATGAAAAGGACTGACTGACAGAGTTTGGTTTTACGCTTTTAGCAATATTCCAGCAACATCACGGCGGGGGACACCAGAAATGGGCTTCACACATTGTACCCATGTGGGGATTCGAACCTGGTTCTTCGGCCTGACGAGCCAACGCTTTAACCATTAGGCTACCCCTCCGCCCCTTTGATGAAAAGGAAGATTCAATTAAATTGGATCTTGTTTACAACATTAACATATATGGGGATTCGAACCCGGGTCTTCGGTATGACTGGTGATGGTGATGAGTTGGAAATCTCAATTAGATTTGATCTTGTTTACAGTTTTCCCAGAAATTATTGAGAAAATCTCTGTTTCCTAATACTGATAATAGAATTTTAAAATAGTTGTTACATTATGTAGTAAGGTACTCAGGTACTCAATATGGGAGGCAACTCTTGTAGGCTTTAGAATGAACCTTACTACATCAAGAGTTATCTCCCGGCTTCCTTTGTTGACATGGCAGATTTGACAGCAGAAGAGAAAAGAAAGCTGGTTCTAGATGATTTTGAAAGGGGTGTGACTAATGAAAAAAAGTTAGCTGGTAAACATGACATTCCTCTGTCTACAGTATACAGAACTTTGAAGAATATTCAGTCAGGAGTTGGGACTGGGCACAAGATGGGCAGGGAGGCCAAGGATCGCTGGCACCTTGGTGAGATTGTGAGTAGGGGAAAATTGAAAAGCGTTGAGAATATCAGAAATGAGATGATTAATAGAGAAAGCCCTCAGGTATGTATTGAAACCCTTAAACAAGAAACACAAAGTGAGTGAGTGAGTTTGATTGTACGCTGCTTTTAGCAATATTCCAGCAATATCACGGCGGGGGACACCAGAAATGGGCTTCACACATTTTGCTAATGTGGGGAATCGAACCCGGGTCTTCGGCATGACGAGCGAACGCTTTAACCACTAGGCTACCCCACCGCCCAGAATTACAAAGACTTAACTGGGTGAAAAGGCGTGGAATTCCCTCACCATTGATGAAAGATGCACAAAAAGAAAGACGTTTTAATTGGGATAATGTTTTCTTTTCTAATGAAATATCTGTCTGGCTCTTTCCGAACTGTATGAAAATTTGGACAAAAAATACCATGAAAACCTATCTACCAACGCCCAAAACATAGCCCAAAATTTCACATGTGGGGTGGGATATCTTCATGTGGAGTGACGCTGTTGTGTATTTTCACTGGAAATTTCACAAAGGGATGATATGCTGACTTCTTAAATGATCACCTCCTTCCAACGGCCCGAACACTGTATGAAGATAATTGGATTTTCCAGCATAATAATGACCCAAAACACACTGCAGGCTACACAAAACAGTGGTTGTCGGACGAAAATGTTCAAGTTTTAGACTGGCCCAGCTACAGCCCAGATCTTAACCCTACTGAGAATGTGTGGGGACTAATGAAGGACAAAATTAACCAAAAAGGACTTAGAAATATTGGGGATATGAAGAAAGAAGTGCTCGAATATTGGGATACGCTGTCACACGATTTCTTACAAACTTTGCTCGGTAGTGTATCTAGGCGCATTCAGTCGTGTATTGCAGGGCAAGGAGGTCTCACAAAGTACTGAAAAGACACTTAGACTGTAAGAGAATCATATCTCAACATATTCATTTCAATAAAACTTCCATAGTTTATATACATGTATTTGGTATTTGCCGAAACAACTTTCTCAATAATTTCTGGGGATACTTTACCTACAACTTTAACAAGTCACGTTAACTTCTGTGAGTGCTTACGGATCAATAACTTCTTTATTACTATGAAGGCTAGTCTGTCGTACAGACCCTGAAGCAAATATATCCAAGAAAGCCCACACAAGTCTAGAAAATGTGGCAAGTCTAGATTTCCTCAGCTTCTGAAAATGAAGAAAGTCTCAGGGCTCCTTTTCATTATATTTTTTTTTTTTACTATGAACTTTTTCAGTAAAATATGTTCATTTCAGAGACTAGTTGTTAGTCTATATGAAGGCCTAAGACAAGTTCCTTGACAAAGGAAGATTTGGTCTCGTTTACCTTCAACATTGATGGGACATGTCTTACTTCTGTGAATGGCATTAAGAAGTTCGTGAGCTGAGCAAGAGAAAGTTCTTTTCACTTCTTTATTACAATTAAGGCCTGACTCCAGTTATTTGACCAAAGGGTTAAAATCTACATCGAAACATTGCGTTACTTGTAGTAAATATTATGTATCCACATGAATCTGTCTCTTATTCAAGAGGTTTCAAGTTTAGTCTTCTTATATTCTGTTCAAGGTAGGTATTGTTTCTCCCCATTTCAATTTGTATAGAAGATGTCATTGCTCAGATATTAACAAGGGTTTTGTTCCTACAGGTTACCATAGTAACTAATTTGTAAGACAATGATTCTCTTCCTTATGATTGAATACACCCAACAATAAACAAGGGGAGATAACTCACCAGACTGGTCGCGTCACAAAGCGCATGAGATGGTAGCTGTAGCGTGAACTCAGCTCACTTGGGTCTGGGATGTTGTTGTACACACTCCAGAAACCCTAGAACAAAGTCAGACACAACACGTTAAGGGACCTTTCATAATTAATGCCTTTGGGGGTGCTGATGATTTTTATGGAGAAGCATGTACAATTGAATGACACGCCCTCCCAAATTTATGAACAAAGTAAGTAACCCCTCCCGCATGTCACCCAGACACACACACACACACAAAATTGCTGATCCCACTAGAGCTTGTGTACAAAATTGATGGACACCCCCAACAAAATGGGTGACACCTCCTCCCCCTCTCAAAATTAAAATAGAATAAAAATAAATAAAAATAAATACATAAATAAAATAAATGAATATATCATCATCCCCTAGCGATAAATTATGAACGGTCCCTAAGCTATAGTTGTCTGTACCTGAACATATTATACAGTCAAGGTGGCCTCTTTGAAAAGTAAGCGGTGGGGTAGCCTAATGGTTAAAGCGTTGGTTCGTCATGCTGAAGACCCGGGTTCGAAATCCCCACATGGGCACTATATGTGAAGCCCATTGCTGGTGTCCCCCGCCGTGATGTTGCTGGAATATTGCTAAAAGCGGCGTAAAACCAAACTCAGTCGGTCAGTCAGTCTTTGAAAAGTAGATTTTCAATTCCTACCACAGAATCTCGCTACATGCATGCTTGGATAAATTCTCTGAAGTATACAAGGACCTTGAATATTGTGTGTACTGGTGCCACCACTCCTTAAGTTGGATTACCGGCCTTCATTACCAACATGACTTGTCAGTTGAGCAGCGTGATATATGAGTAGAAGACTTGTACGTGAGTCAGCAGAGACTATATATTTGTATTATATGGTGTCTGGTGTCAGACGTGCTGCACTGTTAGGATTGTTCTGTGTTCACTTGAAAATTATGATATGAACATCACAAGTTACATGGTTTATCTATTCACAATAGCACACAATTTATGATCTACAATTTAACATGGCAATCAGCAGATGTTGAGTGTTCACACTTTTTCCTATATCTACTGGCTGCTGAAAAAAACATGCAGATTAGTTGTAGGCTCAGTATGTGAAAGGCAGAGTGTTGTGGAAAACAGGTTCAATTGCTCCCCTCTACTGGCCGTTATCAGTAATATATCTTTAGCAGTCTACAAAATAACAAGAGCAGTCTCTTGAAATGCTGGACCTGTCATCTTGCCTCTTATTTGTTCCTAAATAGTCATCAAAGAACTGAATAACCTATCAATCTATTATGCATTAATTCAATAGAGAAGTATATAAAGTCAGGCACCATTGTGTCGAACTCTGATAACTCGATATCTCAGTTGTCTCGATATAACATCTCGGTCCCGGCAAAATCTTTCATGATTTCATCCTTCATTATTCTAGCTCTTTTAACTCAATATGGATGTCTCGATATTTCTGATATTTCAATATAATTTCATGGTCCCAACAAGAAAACTTACCCTTTTAACTCGATATTTGCAAAGAAACTCGATATTCACCTTTCCTGGGCAAGTATCCCTCTGAACTGAGGTTTCCACACGTTTACACACGGTGTGGCATGAATCAAAGAGATGTGGTTGTGCAAACTAATTAGGGCTAATTGAGTTGAAGGTGTCACTTGTTTGTTATTTAATTAGGATTAATTAAGAAGGAATTAGTTAGGAAGTACTCACTGTTACGACTAAACACTACCGATAACAGATTATAGTTTCGAATCAAAACATACTGAGAAGCGTTTTGTTTTCTTTCATAGTGATATGTGATGATATGCCCTGGTGAGATGTCTCATCTTACCTGTACAGTATTGACTGTGTACAGTTTCTTCAAGGATGCTTCATATTGAGCAGCTGATGTTCCTCGAACTGTCCTGAAAACAAATGGTTTCAACAGGAATTATAACTGTCACATTACCATGTCATCCTTCCATGTACCCATTCACTGCCAGGTGAACGGAGGCATATTTCAATCAAAGCACCAGTTGTAATATGTGATTTTCTTAACATTACTATCATACTAACATTTGTACAGCAAAAATATCCAGCTCAGCTGCTCAAAGGCACTTTTATTTTCCCTCGATCATTGGATGTCAAACTCAAACGGCATATTGTATTATCAATCTCAACTCCCTGAGGATCATACAATTAACTCTTGCAGCCACTAGGCACACCGAGTTAAGGTGGCTTTCCCATCCTTACGAGGTACCCATTCACAGATGGGTGGACTGGGACACATAGTCACAATACTTTGTCCAAGTTTCACTGCACCTTGCTGTACCCGCAACTAGGTGTTTGCACGTATTCATGTGGCCACCATCTGGTGATTTATCAACGGATTCATGGGTTCTTTTAAGTGCACAGGGTTGTGTACTGTACACTAGGGGTTGTGACAACACTGAAAGAGTGTGCACACAATGTTGACTCCAAGGTTTTTACACCCGGTCACCGGTGGGCTCAATTACATCTGGGTCAAATGTACAGCCATGATATAAATTATAGGATGCAAAGATCTGCAAATATGATTGTCTGAACAGACAAGTTTCAGTGGCAGAACTACCTTAAATTTGTTCAAGCTACTCTGCATTTTTCACCCACCATCCACTGGTCACAAAGTGACAATTATATACTTAGGAGTCATCTAATCAGCCAACCTTGTGTCCATCATGGGATAAAAAACAAACACTACACTCTGCCAGACCCTATAAAGGCCAATGTTATATCAGCATCAGGCCCCGATTTCTCGAAACAAACTTAAGTCTGAGTTTTGACTCAAATTTGAGAAAACGCAGGAAAATGCATTCCACAGAATGAACTGAAATCGGTATTAAACTCAAACTATAGAAGACAATTTGAGTTTGGTGGATAGATTACTTAAGTTGTTTGGGCTTTTATATTTAGAAAAAGCAGTTGAGTTAAAAATTCAGCTGTTTCAAATTGTGAAACTCAGTTTGAGATTTGAGTAAAAATTAAGTTTGTTTCCAGAAATCTGGGCCAGACTTCAGTACAACGGTATGAAGCTATTAATACCTGTGAAGCTACGTGTTAGAATTGGTCTTCAGCAGTCCATGCTTGTCGAAGGAAGCAACTAACAGAATTGGGTGGTTGTATCCCAACTGTAGATTTATGGTCATGATGTCAATCACTGGATTGTCTGGTCCAAACTCAATTATTTACAGTACGCAATCAAATAGCTGGAAAATTACTGAGTGCTGTGTTAAACAACAAACTGTAGCTAGTTATTAGCAGATGGCCAGCTAGTGTAGCCTACATTTCTGTTTATGCTTTAATATTTTGTTGAGGGTATATATTTCTGCAAATCCCAAATGACAGTGAACGCAAACATCCTTCATCTCCGCTCGAACTACATAACACTAACTCAGAACAATATTGAAGTGCCTCAATGATACTTAACACAGCATCTGTGATGTAATTATTATACAAACATATGATGCATAAAGTGTGTCAAGGGTTTTATGATGTAAGTGGTCATGTGATGAATTATCAATGTACATTGAAGACAAATAAATGTGACTCTGTAATTATCCCATGACTGCAATTACCCTAACGCTGCAATGAAAATACTGAAAACATGTATACATCAAGCTTCTCCTTTTCCTTGACTCTCGAGGAGTGTATTTACATAACTGTTTGTTTATATTGGGAAGTATTATTGGCCAACAGCATGCATGTCAACAATATAGTCAAATGTTATTCTAACGGTCTCGTTATTTTGCACCAATGCGAAGTCAGTTCACACTGAGCAAAAATTGCTTGCAAGTACATATCGTAATTCTGTCGATATTAAACCGCAGTTTCACAATCTGTCAAGTGCTGTTATTGTTTTAAATGTCCAAGGTTGCACGCTCGCGATGTTTGGTCGACAGCAGTTACCTCCCTTAGCTAGTGCCATTGACCAAACTACTCTGAGCTTAACACTCTCTTTACTCGGGTTGTTCAACATCGCGACTAACTGTCAAACGAAACTGAGTTCGTATGTTTTTAATGCATACTAACTTGTCGAGCCAAAATGTCCATGGAGTATTTAGTGGAACCCCCGTCTGTTCAGAGGTGTCTATTTCATTGATTGCCTTTCTAGCTAGCTGTGGACTGCCGGGGTAGACCTTGTTTTCAGACTCCCGTACACTGTCAACATTGAAGGCCGCCATTTTTGACCACCTGACATGATCATGTGATCAAAATAGCCATGACGTCAAACTGCAGGTGCGCGAAAAGTTCCATTGGAGCCCAACAAAGGCACTCATGCTTAGAAAGAGCACCAGTGTAATAAATAACCATTTGAACAGAACAATCTGATCATGTTTTTATGAATATTATCTGTTCTTTCGATTTTCCAAAGGGCTGGACGTCAATTTATCTTGAGATAAGCAAGTTAAATGAAAAAATAAGTATAAGAAAAAAGTTCGAAAGGCTGTATAATTGTGATTCTATTCGAGTCTGCCGGGCAATACAATCCAATGATTGATATCATGAACATCCGTGTAAACAGTGTTACACGTTATACACAACTGTCTACAGGGTAGCCTTTAGTTAATCATTTGTGATCGTTAGTATGTCCGGATGTTCTGGTTTACCAGGCGTACAGAAGGCGTTAATACATATAGCATTTATAGATTTGTTGTTTTAATACTGCATTTATCTGAAATTCTAAAATCGATATTTCCCTGAAATAACACTATCTATATCCCCCATTCGTTTAAATAGTTTATTTTCTCATACGTGTAGTAAGAGCCGATTAACAGGATCCTGTGGTCTGGGTCGCTGATTTGGTTGATGCATGTCATCGTATCCCAATTGTAAATCGATGTTCACGGTGTCAATAACTGGATTGTCTGGTCCAGACTTGATTATAAACACACCACCGTCATAAAGCTGAACGTCTCTTAAGTGATGCGTAAATTAACAAACCACATTGAGCAATGTTCTAAGTCAAAGGGGCGGATTTATACAGGTCGACTTTGGAGTAATCAGAACAGTGATTGATATTATGAACACATTGAAGGATGTCATGTACGATGCCATGAATCAAGCAAGTCACCAACACAGACTAAAATGTTATATACTCCAGAAACGAACCATCTCGTATTTGAAATGTATGTCGCTCATTGTCGATGTAACATTGACGAAAATGGCATGGGTCGATGTAACATTGACGAAAATGGCATGGGAGGCGATATATTCCATATTATGCATAGTCTACAGCATATAGAGATTATAACACGAGCGAGAGCGAGGGCAATACATGATTTTGCACGAGTTTTGTATAAGTCGTATGGCACACTTGCTCGAGTGTAATAATTTCTTTATTATCCATTTCATTCATGTACATTCGTGCAGTAAAGCATGGCAAGCAAGTGTGACGGGCACCATTGCCTGTTGCGTTCCATTGTTTCATGATGTCACAAACGACGAAAATACAGAAACAATGATTGCTAGGCAAAAGTGAAATGTGCACATATGATATATATGACACTAGTTATGTTTCACCATATGGATGATAATATAAATCATGCCAGTTGTGGTTTTACATAAGATTAAAAAGACCCAAAGACCAATGGTCCCCACGATTGACGGAAGTCCGTGCATGGTTCACCAAGCTTGGTTTATGTTTATCAGCTGCGTGGAACGAACAACCAAGAAACAAAATTCTTCCTAAAAAGCATTGGAAGGGAATGAGATAAATTTAACGTTTAAAACATACACCGCTTGCGATACTTACAGTATATGTATCTGAATAATTTCTGACACGATGTATCGACAATCCGAATTCACTACTTAAAATATTATTCTTATGGCTGATTATGACATTGGGTGTATTTAATCGAACCTTGTGTGATGCTATATATATTTTTAAAAATATTTGTTCATATCTGCGGATGACATATACGAGAGTTTACCCACTGCAGTGTAAATAAATAAATAAGTAAATGAATGAAAGAATGAATGAATGCCCAATGGATGGATATGGATGAATAAATAAATTTCCCTGACATTTTAAAAGAAACTTGAAATGTCAAAATTTGTCTTTTATGGTGATTTTAATTGACAAAACGACTTTTAACCATCCTGTAAATCACGGACCCTTTTCACCGATTATTTTAGCTGTGTTGTACATACATGAAGGATTAATACAGCAGTAATTTGCATGTTGGTGGCGATGAAATATATATGTATCTTGGCTATGTACGGATTAAAACAAGACAGTTCAAGCAGACATGGGAAGCAAGTTGTTTTGTATAGTCAAACTGACAGTGCCAGATTGGTTGGGGTGGGGGGGGTGGGTGTGGGGCATATTAGTGTCTGAAAGTAAAGAAAATGTCTTCCCTTGGGATTCTCTCTCCCATGCAGAATTTAATATATTGTTTCTGTAAAATATATTCATTTCTGAGACTAGATCTTAAACGAGAAAAGCGCAACCCTACTAACCACAGTTCAACTGGTTTTTCCAAGCGAAAACTAAACCGGAAGAGAGTTGTCTCTCTTGAAGTCACATGATTGCCTGACGAGTCACATGCTTTCATTCTCTCAAGATGGCCGCACAAGGCAGCTTTTTGGCTCTGGTGGTTTTTGTCTTGGCTCTGTTCATCCCCGGTGTGTCAGCATTTGATGCAGGGGATGCCATCGCCCTTGTTTTGGGACTTGTTATTGGAATTCTGGGAATATGTGCATGTTTAGGGTATTATGCACGAAGAAGAGCGTCGTAGATGTAGATCATTGGTGATGTGGGTGTTCCATTTTCAGAGTTCAATGGACGGTGTTGACAAGAGAAATCGTGGTTGCGAAGACCACGGAGGGAGACAGTTGTATATAACTCTTCATTTGTGATTTATTCATCGTCAATTCATGTGGGAGGATCGTAACTAATTCCACGTCTGTTCAACAGAAATCGCCACCAGTCAACCTACCTTATGTATCAACTTCCGTACAAGATTTTGTAACGACGAAATGTAACAAAATTAACAGGAACTACTGGAGTGACAAGCTTGTATAGCCCTCCATACCAACAAGACATCGTTAAAGACTTCAACCGACCAAAGGCGACATTGCTTGTATCCTTCAAGCGTCTTTATGATCATTACTTGCCAGCATTATGAGAAGAAGAAAATGTTGTCACACAGTTTTTGTTTGTGTGGAGCTTTCTAACCACGACAACACTTTAATAAACCCCGGAACAGATTGTTAATCATATTGGCGGATGACCCTTATCACCTGTTGACTATCAGTGCTGCAAGTTTAAAGACTCCTCTCCTTGACAATGTCGGTGTATCACTGGGATGTGACTGTCACCCATGTAGTAACGCTTACAAACATTCCATGTTCCATGACCACTACAAATGATTTACTTGTTTTTGATTACTAAATTATTTTGGATTTGTGATGATTAAACGCAATTCTTATTGCTGATATCAAATTGAAACTTCAGATTAATGAGAATAGGTTTGAATGTTAATCATAAAAGCTGTACATCAATAGGTCTAATTCCACAGGAGCATTTCTGTTGATCATGAATTTCACCCAAAATCTAAAATGACTGTACATTTATGTTTAACATCAAAGGAATATAATAGTGTTGTGTTAGTGTGCTGTATAAACTATGCTCATGTATCAGCTAGTTTTGACATCAATGCCTTATATCATAATTAATAAATTATTCTTGTTTTAAGTTCTTAGTTTTGTTATGATTGTAGACAGTGTGTAGAACTTTGTGTTCGTGTCATCTGCTTCAGTTTGGGGTTTGCTGAAATATAGTTGCTCATTAATGTTGTTTTTGCTGGAAAATATGTTCATTTCAGACATAGGATGTTATTACACTTTCTAGTACTGATTCTTGTACTTTTGTTGAGTTGAGTCCCAATCCGGGATTCAAACACTCAGACTCAGACTCAGGCACCTAATTGCCAGCACAAAAAAGTCAGATGTCTAACCCACTCAGCCACCATGGCTCAGATAACCGGTTAACCCACATGACTGGACTTTTCTCAGATTTGCAAACAAACCCACTCTGAAATTAGAACAGATAGGTGAAACCAATTTAGATCTTCCCTTACCATTATATATGTATATTACTGCACTTGTGACAGTGTGTGCATGGGAGTAGATCTGTAGCTTCATACCAGAAAGTGACTGCATGTCGTGAGCTATCAGATGAGCTTCCAATAACAGCTGGATAAATACTCAAAATTGAAATAGGTTTTCATGTTTTAGGATATTTTGATAGTAAGGTTTTATGCCACTTTTAGCAATATTCCAGCAATATCACAAAGGGGGACACGAGAAATGGGCTTCACAAATTGTACCCATGTAGAGAATCGAACCAGGGTCTTCAGCGGGACAAACAGACGCTTTAACCATGTTAACCATTATGCTACCCCACCTCCCCTGCAAGAAAGCTAAATTTTCATACCACATTTAAAAAACTGTACACAGTATTTGTTAACTTTGTGTCTGTATCATCAGCTTCAGTTTGGGGCTCGCTCAGATGCAGTCACTTACACGTATACAGTTGTGAAGAGTAGAAGACGTAACGTGTACTCAAGACGGTCCTCCGTTACACGTACAAGTGACTACCTGAGATGGGGTCACTCATTCACGTGACTGCCTGATCACAGACAGGGAAATTCTGCATGTCACACAAAAACGCATCTAAAGTGTTATTTAAGAAAATAATTAAACAAAATTTGCTACAGTCATTGATAGATGTTCAAGTTATTGAATGACATGAATGAAAACGTAAAAAGAAAAAAATTTATAGTCAAATTTTGACCAAAATGTGCAAAATTTATTATGGTGAACATATTGGTGAACATCTAGCTCAAGACTAAATAATGATGCACAGAATTTTGTGTTAATATAACTTCCTGAACATGATGCTCTGTGAATGCAGTGGTATTTGCAACCTTCCAATATCCAGTAGGCACAGGCATGTGTACATGGATCATGCTGATTCTCAGAATTATTCCCTTTTCACTAATGATCATTCTCTTTAAATTTTATACTTATATTTGGTGTTCACCTTGACCTCCTTACAGTTGTGTCACTGTCAGGTGAACCCTGAGGGAACTTTGACCTCTCAGACTGAATGAAGTAGGTGTGAGATTTGAAAACTGACAAGCTTCATTTTTTAGCCTAAACATTCAGATAGGCTGAGTACTTCACT